CCCTAACCCCGTTTTTGCGCGGTTTCAAAGCGGTTCGGGAGGGGGCCTGGAAGCGCAGGTCGTTTTGTACTGAAAGTAGTGAAGGAATGGATGAAATTGAGTTGGGTTTTTTTGGTAAGTGCGCTGTTGGCATATGAATGGTGTGTGCTGAATCTCTCTCGCGGAGTTTTGCGTTTAGTTTTTGTTACGGTCCGTAGATGCCGGGTGCCAAAGCGTGAAAAGTGCCCAAACATGCGTTGTATATCTATCAGAGAGTTTTTTCCATGGCCATTTCCACCGTGGTTTTCCATGGGTACCACCAATACTCATGGGCACCCAGGGGTACCCACGAATACGCATGAACATGGGGTCCCATGTGTACCCATGGATCACCGTGGGTACCCATGGGTACCCATGGGGCGTGGTTGCCCATGGGTACCCACGGGTACCCATTTTGATCACCATGGGTTAGATTCAAGATCATGGACATGACCCGGTCGGGCAAGGGGTGGGGGAGTCGAATGAAACTTCAAGGGTATTGGTCTGAGAAGAATATTATTTCACACAGACACACATCACAACACCACGCATACCCTTGCCCGAACCTAGGCAGCGGCTCATCGTTCCAGAAGCTACACTACTCCAGTGCACTTGAAGACGGGTCAAAGAAAATAGCGAAGACTGAATACCCTCACCCGGTGCACAAACATGCCGAAAGAGGTAGACCAAAGTGACGAGACGCTTATGCTTCTCATCCTATTTTCCATCAACAGAACCGCCACGCATACCCTCGGGGTGCGGGTGCAACTTGCTCGCCAGGTACAGCCGCTGGGCATCCGCGGCTGGCTCTGGGAAAGTAGGATCGCCCCCGCATGCTTCAAGCGTACAAGGCAAGTTTCCAAGATCCCGGTACCTAGAGAAAATCGTCTTCGGTATCTTCACACCTGCCAAGCCCCCCCCCCGCCCCCATCCTCAGAAATGCTGAACTGGCTGCCACGACGTCTAGGAACATCTATCTCAATCGGTTTGTGTCCAGCATGGGCCCATCCAAGGAATGCAGGTCTTGCATTTTGCCTTGCGCTACTGGCTCTTGTGCTCCCTCCTGAGCGATCGGCGGGGTAAGCCACATTGTCACCACGCGACCTTGGTTGTCTGGCATCCGTTGCCGCGGAGAAGCCCCCGTCCTGGTGGGAAAGCGCGGTAGGGGCTAGGCCCATGCCGCGGGTTGAACGGAACGAGTTTCCAGAGTATCGTCGGGGAAGGTCTACGGCAACGGGTGTTTTCCGTAGAACCACCCACGATCTCCCGAAAAGGCCTGTGCTCTCATCAATGTTGCTGGTTTCAGACGACCTGTGCCCTTCTTTTCCTGCCGTTTCCCCTTTGGGGTTGGGCACAGTATTGTCAAACGAACTGAACTCACTAGCATCAATATTGGAGGAGAAACTTCCATCCTGACTGGAAGAACCCTTCGAGCCTAGGCCCATCATATGTGTCGCATTGGATGAGTCTCGGGAATGACGTCGTGGAAGATCTATGGCGATGGGTTTTCCCCATGGAAATCCCCACGGCATTCCGAACAGGCCGGGACTCTCCCAAGTTCTGCTGGGTTCCGATGACCTATCCACATCTCCGCTTGCCTTTCTCCCTGTGCCGGTAGGTCTGCCCTCGCCCGCGTCGATTCCCCCAAAACCGCCCGGGACAGCCTCTCTATCATCGTCGTGCTCTGGCCTGAGGGTCAGACCAGAATCATCGACGCCCAAGACCGAACTCTCCGAGACACCGGGGCGGCGGCGGGGAGTATTGTCCTGGATGGGCCTTCCGTTCCAAGCCCAACGACCTCTGGTACCGAACGTTACTGATGTATTGCCCTCATGATTAGTCGAAACCGGCGCCCCAGATACATCGCCGCGGTCTACTCTGGCCTCCATGCCAGAATCGTAGGTTAGACGGCGGCGGGGCAAATCGTCCTCTGTGAGTGCTTGCCAATCTCGACTGCGACGATGTCGTTGACCGTCATCGTTCGAAACAGCCCCCGGGATCGATTGGTCACCATGCGGTGTTTCCAGATCAGGCACATCGACATTTTCGGTAGAGGAGAAGACGGACCGGCGGTGTGGTAAAAAGTCTTCAACGGTTCCTCCACGTATACGCCCCTGACCCTCTCGTGGGTCCTTGTCAGTGACAACCGACAGGAGTGCGCCATCACCTTCTTGATACCCATCCTGCAAATCAGGTGCCTTGACGCGGTCTGCCGCAAGATCAGGAAAGGAGAACCACGATCGCCGGCGCGGCACATCGTCTTCCACAAGCCCTTCCCGGCCAGGACCCTGAGCACGTTGTCGGCCGGCCCCATGTACCGAACATCCTCGGTGACGTCCATGCTCCTGCGTTGACTGCAGAAAGTGTTCATCAACGCTGTCTACCGATGTCGTCGAAGTAGGGAGGAAAGCCGACCGACGACGAGGGAGATCTTCCTCAACGGGTTCTCCCTTTCTAGCTCGTTGCCCTTGCCGTGAACGGTTTAAATCAATGGTGGGCGCGTCGGTGGGCGCGTCGCCGCCGTGCTCCAGCACTGCCTGCAGACCATATTTTGCTGGAGGATCTCCCCCAAAAGCGCAACGAACGGAGAAACTGGGGCGTCTGTGAGGCAGATCGTTCTCAACGGGTCTTCCATGTGGACGAGTGCGACCGCGTTGGGGAAGGGTCTCATCGACATCAGACTCCAAGCCGTACGTCGGCACAGACTGCCGACCAGATCCATTGATGCTGTCTACCGATGTCGTCGAAGCAGAATAGAAAACTGACCGACGGCGGGGTAAGTCGTCTTCAACAGGTTCTCTCCATTTGCGAGTCCGATCCCTCCTTGCACTGCTGTGTTGATCGGAAGCAGGCCACATGTTCGTGTCGAGATTGTGCATTGCCTGCAATCCTGGGTCCTCACCAAGAATTGGCGCAAGCCCTGGAGTGGCGGAGTAACCGGAATGGTAGTGTAGCACATCGTCACCAATGGGTCCTCCCCGTCGATGAAAACAACCATGCTGCGACCCGTCCTCTTTGACAACATCTTCCAGGTCGTTCTCATGCTCCGGCAGGGCCTGCCTGTCGGTTTCATTGGAGGTGTCTACCGATGCCATCGGAATAGAGAAGGAACTGGGGCGCCGTCGGGGCAAGCTGTCCTCGACGGGCCCCTTACGTGTACGTGATTTTCTGTACCGTGGACCGTTTTCATCCGAAGAATAGTCTAGGAAATTGTTATGCTCCGGCACACACTGCACATCCGTATTGTCGGTGTGGTCGACCGAATAACCTGAAGCAGACCAGAAGCTCGAGCGGCGGCGTGGGAAATCTTTTTCTCTGGGTTCTCCCGGCCTACGACCCCGACGGGGCCTTGGACCTTGCACATCTTCGTCGGGCTCCAGGTTAGCTGCATTCTCCTCGGTCACCTGTTCGTGGACGGCATCATCTAATATCTCCGACGTGAAGGGAAGTTCAATACGGCGACGAGGTAGGTCATCCTCAATGAGACCTGCTAGGTTCTGCCTTCCATGGCGTCCGTGACGGCGCTTGGCCAAGACACTCTGAGCGTAACTCGCACAATCCCCAGCTTTCATCCGGCCAGCATCGCCTTGACGGTCTACAGCCACAGATGACGGTATCACGATATTGTAATGCCGGCAGGAGGGATTGTCCTTCATGGGCCCACTCTCTTTCGAGCCGCTACGTCCGTCAGAGCCGTAGTAATCCGCGCTCCGCGGCCATGACGGTTGACCAGCTGTTTCTACACTGATGGCGGCGATTGTCGAATCAAGAAAGTAGCTGGAGCGACGACGGATAGGATAATCACTCTCCATAGGCCTTCTTTTCCACCACCGACGTCTGTCCGAGGCTCGTTGGTCTGTGATGGCATCGGCGTCATCGTCTTGCCCCCCGTACCAATCAACAGCACCAGATTTGCGAGTTGGAAGCTCGATAGGAACCGGCGCCCGACGATTGAAAGGCCATTCGGGATAAGGGCCGATTTGCCCGGCTCTCAACCCGGAGCCTGTCGGGTCACGGATGCCTTCTCTCGTATCTCTGACGCCTGAATTCGAAGAGGAAAATATGTCGAGAGTGAATATGACTGGATGCAGCCGTAGTCGTCGCGTCTCATTATCGAGATGCTACAACCGACGGTTCAACATGTTACACTGTACCTCCGATTCCACTGTTTACATGAGGTCCGATAACAACGCTTTCTATCATAACGTGCTATTTGGTCTGGTCTTGTTCGTACTTGGAAGACTGAACGACTATCAACATAAACGTAGGACTCGTCTCTCATGCCCGTAGTTTAAACATGCCCGTAGTTTAAGCCCCCGTGGTTGTAGGTGCGCACATCGAAAAGTATTCCGTCACCGGCACTTACATGCGAACACATTGCTGCCGACCATCCTGAACCAAGTTCTCCCCCACAGCCGAAGAACTCGGCGGTTGATGAACTCTCGCTCGGCACGCTGCGAAGTGGTGCATGACAAAGTGGTGCATGATGTGAGACACAACTGTGAGTCTGCCTTTGGTTGGCGATTGGTTTCGGCTGGGACAATGCGAGCGATATCATCTCTGAAGAGGGGAGATTTGTTGAAGGAAGGGGAAGACGAAAAAACATTTTATGCTGCTAACTGCTGCGGTCGACTATGCTGTCGACTGCACGGCGACTCGTCTTGGTTTCCAGCCGTCCCTACTTGAAGTATACCACCAGTCGCAAGTACGTATTTTTCAAAAATCAAATTTGATTCATGTTGATGGTCTTTTTATCACCCCGAGGATCCAAGTCCGCTGGATCTTGAGGAAAATATATTTTGCCTTTTTGAGAATATGGTCGTTTTTGGAACAGTTGCTGGTTGGCCGGGCGCCACATGAGATACCCCGTGGGCTTTGCAGTGCGACACAAACAACCGTGTGTTTGCGCCAAGGTATCCCACACATGTGGCACAACCGTGTCAGGCGGAGGGTAGAAAGAGGCTCGTTTGCACACGTTCACTCGCGATAGCAGCCGGTGGTCTTCGAAACTCCTACCATCAGCCTGAACACCGGCCGTCTGCGGCGGGCTCCCGCAAGACAAACGCCACGACGTTAACGCGTAAGGGCAGGTCTCAATACTGGTTTTCCTTCGCATCGGAGGCCGGGGGCAGTCGATCGGCCCCTGTCGGTAGATTCGCGCCATCGACCTCAACAAGTGCGGCAGGAAGCGGAGTGAGGGAGGCGGTACGATGAATTCGGTAGTGGTGGTGGGGGCAACGGTTGTCGGGGCGGTGGCGTCAACACAGTGCATCTGGTGGCGGCCGCCGCGGTGGGAGGTGAGCTGAGAACAACTAGGACTACGGGCTCCGTCGTGCGGCCGGGCCAACCTCGACAGGCTGCCCGCGTGCGACTTTTCAAAAAGGTAGAGCGAAGGAACTGACGAGGCCGGCACCCAGGCCGCAGCAAGGAGCAGCACCGAGGTCAAGAAGCGACGGAGGATATTTCCATGGTTTTGGCCTCAAGCTCATCGCAAGATCAGTTGCGGGCTCGTCTCAACGCAATTAGGCATTAGGGATATGGTCTTGGCGTGTCTTTCACATGATGATGGGTTACGAGAAGTTCTCGAGAGCAGACTCGCCACCCGTGGAGGAGATGTTTCAGGCTCTGTTTGGTTTTGGCGAGTGGTGTTTCGAGTCGGGGGAAAACCTGGCCGGGACCATCTCGGGGAAGTTGGCAGCGGTGCAGTACTACCGCAGGGCGGAAGCACACGTATAGAGCAAAAGGTGCAAGTCTAATGTCTACAAGCAGTATACAGTGTCCTTCGGGTGCAGAAAGATAACGGTAATGCTGTTTACGACACCGGTGTCGTAAATTATATACTCGACACCGCACCAAATGCTTCGAACCTACATTCGCTGTGTTGCTACGGCTCCCAGCTGTCGTGCAAGCCCTCGTTCGTCTCATAGTGACCGGTGGTTGCCGAGATTTGGCCCAAAACGATGCCACGGCACCACCTCGTCGGTGTCGAAAATAACCCTATTTCCGACACCGCGCGAATCTTTCCGAGAACACATCAACTGGGCACAAAACCAATTGCACCGTGTTTCCACGGCCCCCACCTGTCACACAATCCGTCATTTGGGCGAAACTCATGTGTGGCTCCCGACATACGCCGAAGCACGTGGCCGCAGCACCACCTCCACGGTGTCGTCAACAAGACACCTCGCGAACCTTTCCGAGAACACATCCTAAGGGCACAAAACAAATCTTGTTGTGTTCTCACGCCCGCCAGCTGTTGCGTAAGCCGTTATTCGGCAAAAATCAACACGTGGTTGCCGAGATACGCCCCAAGAGTGTGGTCGCAGCACCACCTCGCCGGTGTCTTATTTTCGACACCGCGCGAAAGTTTCCGAAAACACCTGCAATGGGCACGAAACCAAGTGTACTGTGTTCCCAGGGCCGCCAGCTGTCACACAAGCCGTCATTCGGCCGAAACCAGCAGTCGTAAATTTATACATACTTACAGAGCAGAAGAGCTTATGAAGCGTACATCTTGATTATTGTATGCTTTCAGCTTTTCTTGTGCCTCTTTTTGGCCTTTGTTTTATTGCCCGTTCTACAGTAATCCAACACAAGATTTCGGCGGTCAAAATCCACAAATGTTGGGAACATTGCCACTACAGCATTATTATAGTGCACCTTTTGCCACGCTTGTTCAAAAGATGACAGTGGTATACAGCATCAAACTGCCTGCGACAGATCACATCCTGCAAAAATACCACATATCCGTACATACATACGTCGTGCATCTGTACATACTGCCTGAAGTACCGACAGCACAAACCGTCATTCGCACCTATGGATACGTGTCTGTATTGTATACCTACAGCACAAGCCGTCATTCGCATGTATGGATACATGCTTGTCTGTATACCACGCCAGCGGTATGTGATCGTGTGCCAACTTGTGTCAGCGGAATCGCCTTTCAACTCGAATCTCACCGCATATTTATCCAATCAGATCATCACATCAAAACACACATCATTTCCAGAAAACAAATCCGAAACGATAACAGTTATTATTCCGCGCCCAACCCTCCGCGTATCTGCCCGAAAGGTTCATATTTTTCCCTCATCACCTTTGTTTGTGGTACTTGGATATGAGTGCGATTTGTGCATCCTCTGTGGGGGATACGCGTATGGGAATTATGGGTGTGAGGGTATGTATGTATGCGGTTGTGGTCCAAGTGCGGGCCCCCCGGGAGCACACGGCGGTGTGCTCCTGGCACTTGCCTGAGGGGCTTGCGTGACGGATATATATAATACATGGTCCTTTTTCATCTGCTGTTCCTGGGATAACATAGTCCCTAGTCTCAGTACCACAGACCGCTGAGGGCGGCAGTGCACTAACACGATATCGTGGAGCCTAGCTAGGCAAGGTGTTGGTTCAGTCATGACGGAAAGAGAGAGAGAGTTGGAAGAAGAAGTGAAGAAAGCGGCAGCCGAGAATGCGGAGATACGAAGATGCGGAGTTACGAAGGAGAGGGGGTGAAGTAGAGGAGAGGAGTTCATCGGAGGAAGCCACGAGAGGGAGAGCGGGCGATGCCGGGTATGCGGCTGGTTTTTATGGGGGTGGCGAGAGTAGCCCGCCCCAACGACTTTTCTTTTCGGAGAGAGAGGGGAAGACACCCCGCGTGTACGGCGGATACCAGCAACATGTGACGAGCGGTGTGCAGCAGAGCAGCTGCCACGACCACGTCCTCAGAGGGCACTGCCAGTACCAGCATCAGCAGCAACTGATGACCAACGCACGCCCTCCCGCTGCTCCTCCTCCGGCTGCGCAGCCGCAGCCGCAGCGTATTACTATTGCTGCAGCACGTTGCCAGTACACCCCCCATTGGCAGCAGGAGCAGTGCGTGCAGCAGAGGTACATGCCACCGCAACCGGTCCAGCACCAACCCGTGCCCCAGCAGCATCGCCAACAGCCTCTACCGCAGCAACCTCGTCAACAACAGCAGCCAATACAGTCCTGCAATGG